TGTGTGTGTGTGTGTGTACGGCTGCATAAAAAGGAAGCCAGAAGCCAGACTCATCTTTCAAAACAAACAGGCAGCACCACTGTGGACAGAATCCCACCTCTCTGAACGAGCAGCGGGAAAGGTCAGCCTCTATTTTAGGACACAGAGTGGAGGGCTGCTTCCACCCTCGGACCACAGCACGAATGTCTCCTGCTCTTCACTGACCGCAGCATCGGCTTCAACGGGACAGCACCTGTTACTTTTATTACTTTACCTACCAGATCAATCAATCATTTTAGGAAGTGGAACAAGGACTGCTGCCTGATTGTCTCGCCTCGTGAATTCCCAGTTTCTTTCTTGCCATTAAAGAGAAAAGCATTCATATCATAAGTTTAAGTGTCGTTCCTTCTGCAGGAAGCCAACCGTCTCTGAATCAAAGCGTCTGCCAGAGCGCGGCTGTCACAGAGATTTGTGTTGTTGTTACATTCACACGAGGATCTGATGCTTCCCGATAGAACGCTCAATAAGCTAAAGTTGCCAGGCAACAAATTCCACTCAGTGAGCAGCATCGCTTAGCAACAACATTCATCCAGGAAGTGAAAAAGGGACTGGAGATGGCAGCCACCCCCCCAACAAGATTTTAATTCACTTAACTTATGTGCACTTGTTGTGGGTCTCTCTCTCTCTCTCTCTAGAATGCTGTGCTGGGGAAATAGATAATTGATTAAATATGTGGCCAAATGAAATAAATAGGAGTGAAGGAGTTAAAATAGAGTTAATCCCAGTTCAGTTGTGATTTGATTAATCAACTGGTTGGCCGAAATGAAATCAAATGAAAAGCTATTTGCTATTCTTTAATTAACTGATCAGAGTTTGAAAGAAAAAGCTTTATATATTTAACATTTTTATTTGAAATATTCTAGTATTAAATATAAGTATTTGTGAACTATTTATAGTTATATTTTTGACTTGTCTCATAATTTGTGAAATAAAATATTGTACTGAATTTAATATATCATGTATCAAATATTTTGTGAAGGATGTGGGAGCCACAAGTCAAAATGTTTGGAGACACAACATGCTTTTGTCCATCAAACATCAATGATCACTTATCTATTGCTGAGTACTTTGTATTTTCTTTAACATTTATTATATCAATCATAGAGCAAGCCGTCAAAAATAACAACATCATCAAATCTCTCAGGACAACTTCAGTCTTGGTGGAAAAGAATCTCCATGTAAACACGTTACACGTACAAGCAACCAAGAGGTCAAGTGAATGCAGCATCAAATCACACCGTCCTCATCTACAAAGTCTGCATAAGATATTCCTTTAATAGTCCCACAATGGGGAAATTCATGTCAGCGTCATCAGAAATAAATACATATATAAATAAATAAATATATAGAAAAATATACTCCTCTACTCTTGGTCCCTACCTAAGTGTTCTTCCATGACAAGAGCTAGGAGAAGTGTACATTATATATTAACATTGTCACTTATTGGTTCAACCTGTTTTTACCAAGCTATAATTGTAACTGTGTGTCTAAGCTACACAACGTTCACACAGCTCGTCTAACAACCTGCTGGTGGAGTTTATATTCTCCCCACACCAATCAGGATTACTACTACACATTTGATGGCAATTAAAAACATGGTGCTCTGATCTGAGTTAACTGTGAAATATTGATCCATGATTCTTTGAAGATTTAATAAATAAGGGATATATACACACACACACACAGTTCACACTTAATAAAAGTTATACTATACTACTTGTTTGTTACTTTGCTGAAAAGAACATTGCCAATAATGTCATTGTGCAGTGCAGAGCAGAGCTAAAATGGAGGAATATACCTTCACTTTAGATTAATGCCCACATAAAAGGCATTTCTGTCTGATGGAAGGCAGCTGAATCTAATGAGAGGATCTGAGTGCTGCATCATTGCACAGCTGGTGCTTTTCATACATTACAATGATTTATTGCATTAATGTGCTTATTATACATATGTAAACCAAACAGATGTAGGTCTGCCTCACTCTTCACAAGCTCTCTGGAATTTTATTTATGCAAACATTTGACCAGCTTATACATGATTTATTTAACTAACTGAGAGTTTGTCATTATTTATTAGCAATTTAAACAGCGAGAACCACGCCAGTCTATTCTCTGAATCAATGTGGCTATCTTCTTAAATAAACATAGATCCTGAGTCTAATTATAAAGCACTAATTGATCTCCACAGGGGCCAAATCTTTATACAACCTCTGTCAATTTTTAGAGCTGGACAGGTCCAATAAGAGCAGACCTTAAATCTCAGAGCTGGACATTTAACCTCTGACACGTTCATCAAACTGCCAGTACATTCAGCTCATTAAACCTTCTTCCCCTCTGAAAAGCCGGGCTAAGATCTTAACCGCTCACACCACATTACCTTTTACTTGTTGTTGGTAATAAACAACTGTCCTTCATCAGGAAAGGGATGCATGGATTCAGTGTCAGCGCCCCAGATGGCATCAGCAGAGCACGGTGAGGTCAAACATTATTTGTCTCTACAGGAACATGTTGGTCCAGACTGAAGCTGCACTCCTGAAAGTACTGCGGTACATTCATTATAATGAATTATTTCTTTAATAAGGAGTACGGTCTCCACCTGCTCTATATGAGAAGTTCTGTCATGATTTTGGCTATCACCTCTGTTGATCCCCAAACTACAAATCACAGACAAACTGTATTTCTGTCACTCAGAGGTTGGTCAAATCAAGGGAGATTGTAGAAACTCTGAACTCAGTGGGCGGTAAAGAACCTTGGAAGTATTTCTGTCAGGTGAGAGTAAAGCACCATGTTGTAGTGAGACAGGACTTTTCCACTCGGAGGATCGGCGGTTCAATCCCTGGAACGGCAGAATACATTTAGGAGGGTAGAGTG